TGCGATTGGCACAGGATAGAGCAGGGTTTAGGGCTGTTGTACATAAGGTCGGTATAAGTTGCAAACGACTCGGCGCCACATTAACAACAACTGTAAATGGCATTGTTCTCCTGATTTCCTTTTCTGAGTTCTCTTCGTTGGTGTAGAGAAATCCCGTTAATTTTTTTTATCTTGATCTTGTACCCTGTTACTTTTTTCAACTTTTCAATTAATTCCAGTAGTTTTCTTATTGAGTCGGGATTTTCTATTTATAGAATCCTATCATTTGCTAATAGAAATACTCTTAATTCTTCTTTACCAATTTAAATATATTTCCCGTATTTGTCTATGCATCAGAAAGCTGGACAATGACAAGGGATGATAGAAGGAGAATTGATGACTTTGAGCTGTGGTGCTGAAGAAGAGTACTGAATACAACATGGACTACTAGAACAAACAAGTTCATCCCGGAGAGGGTGAAGCCAGGCTGCTCCATGAAGGCAAGGATTCTGAAGATTCATTTGACATACTTTGGACTTGTTGCAAGGAGGTAGTCCTTGGAGAGGGACATTATACTTGAGAGTTTGGAGGGACAGCACAGGAGAGGAAGACCCTCGATGTTATGGATTGATTCAGTGGCTAGGGTTATTGGGGTAGATATATCAGAGACAAGAAGATTGGCACAGGATAGAACAAGGTTTAGGGCTGTTGTACAGAGGGTTGCTATGAGTCGCAGGTGACTCGATGGCACATAACAACAACAAACAACATCTTTGTCTTTTTGCCCTGGTTAGATCTTCCAGTACAATATTGAGGTCATCTTTTCTTGTTCCTCTTTGTTAGCAGAATACTTTCAGTCTCTTTCTTTGGCAATGGTTTTGCATATATACTCTTAATCATTGAAGAACTTCCCTTCTATTTTACTGAGAATTTTCATTATGGATGGATGTTGGAATTTGTCAAATGGTGTTTCTGTAACACTGAAAATGATCTATGGCTTTTTCCCTTTACTTATGTAATTTGGAGGCCGTGGCACCAGGGATATCATTGTTGACGTCAGAGGGATCCTGGCTTAAAGTAAGGAATACCAGAAGAATGTCTATTTGTGCTTTACTGACTATGCAAAGGCATTTGTGTGGATCATGACAAGTTGTGGCTGACATTGAGAAGAATGAGAATCCCAGAACACTTGAATATGCTATAGGAACCTATACCTGGAGCAAGAGGCTGCTGTGTGAATGGAATTGGGAAAGGAGTATGTCAGGGATGTATTCTATCTTCATACCTGTCAAATCTATGATGAGCAAATTATCTGAGAAGTTGGATCTATGAAGAAGAGTGTGGCATCAGGATTGGAGGGAGACTCATCAATAACTAGTGTTATGCAGAGGACAGACACAACCTGACTTACTGAAAGTGAGGAGGTTTATGAAGCATATATTGTAGAAGATCAAGGAATACAGCCTTAAGTATGGATTGCATCTCAATATCAAGAAAACAAAGATTCTTGCCACTGGACCAATAGGCAGTGTCATGATGGAGAGGAGACTGAAACTGCCAACAGCTTCATCTTGCTTGGATCCACAATTAACACTCTTAGTACCAGCAGTCAGGAAATAAGACAATAAACTGCACTGGGAAAATCTGCAATTAGGGATTTTTTCAAATTACTGAGGAATAGTGATGTCAGTTTGAGGACCAAGATGCGTCTGATTCAGGCCATGGTCTTTCTGATTACTTGTTACGCATCCAAGACCTGAATAATGAATAAAGATGACAGAAAAATAACTGACGCTTTTGAGCTATGGTCCTGGAGAAGAGCACTGAACATCCCATGGAAGGCCAAAATAATGAATAGATATGTCTTGGAGAGGGTGCAGCCAGAGTGCTCTTTGGAGGCAAGAATAATGAGGCTTCATTTCACATACTTTGAACATATTGCTAGGAAGTACTATTCCTTAGAGAGGGACATGATGTTGGGAAGAGTGGAGTTTCAGTGACGGAGAGGAAGACCCTCAACCAGGTGGACTGACAAGGTGACGGTGACTACTGCAATGGGCTCTTGTGTGTCAGGAAGTGTGAGGATGGCACAGGACAGGACTAGGTTCAGATACTTAGTTCATAGGTTCGCTATGAGTCATACTCGACGCAAAGGAACATAACAGCAACAACAACAATCACTGAGTCAGAAATGATTCATAGCTCACCCTCTGGTGGATTTTCTAAGGCAGTCAATCACACAGAAGGAGACTGTCCATCTTTCTCCTTTGGAGCAGCTTGTGGATTTGAACCGTGTGCCTTCAGAATTGCAGCACAGCTTACCACTCGGCCACCAGAACGTCATTTATTATGTAATACACTGTTGTTGTTCTTCTGAGGTGCCTTTGAGTCAAGTATGACCCATAGCGACCCTATGAACAACAGTTCTGAATCCTGTCCTATCCTTTGCCATCCTAACACTTCCTGACACTATGGAGCCCACTGTAGCAGTCACCATGTCAATCCACCTGGATGAGGGTCTTCCTCTCCTTTGCTAATCCTCTGCCATTAGCCCCTCATAGCAACATGCCTGAAGTATGTCAGACAAAGCCTCATCATCCTTGCCTTCAAAGAGCACTCCAATTGCACCCTCTCCAAGACATATTTGTTCTTCTGGTATACCATGGGATGTTCAGTACTCTTTTCCAACCTCACAGCTCAAAGGTATCAATTCTTTTTCTGTCATCTTTATTCATTGATTAGCTCTCAGATGCATAGCTAGTAATCAGAAAGACCATGGTCTGAATGAGATACACCCTAGTCCTCAAACTGACATCATTACTTCTCAATAATTTGGAGAGCTTCCTAACAGCAGACCTAACTAGTGCAATATGTCTCCTGATTTCCTGACTACTGGTACCAAGGGTATTGACAATGTGGTTTATTGATGAATTGTCCTCTGTTCTTGATGTCACATTCTTCTTCATAGAATTCAGCTCGAGTCACGTGCAACTCATAGCGACCCTATGTACAAGAGTCTAAAAAATGCTCTATCCTGTGCCAACCTTACCTACTCCCATTACCCCAATCATTGAATCTATCCATCTCATCGAGGCTCTTCCTCTCTTGCACTGTCCTTCCGCCTCCCAAACATGATGTCCCTTTCTAGATGTTTATGAATGATCTTCATTCATCAGTATTTTGCTTGCATGTGATATTAATAATATTGTCTGATAGGGTCCACATTCTGTTGGATCACCTTTCTTGGGAATGAAATAAAATATGGACTTTCAAATAATGGGTTACCCTACTTGTTTTCTAATGTTAAAATAAAATTACAACCCTGATATGAATCTCACTTGGTTATGATATACTTTATTTTAGGTGATGTGGAGTTCTACTGGCTAGAATTTTATTGAAAATTTTAATATCTATGTTCATGAGGAATATTGATTTGTGGGAATCTTTTGTGTCTTTATCTAACTTTGGTATCAGAGTTATGTTTGCTTCATAGAATGACCTAGGGAGTACCCTGTTTTTTTCTATGTCATGGAATAATTGGAATAGAATTGTTGTTAGTTCTTCTCTGAACATTTTATAGAATTTTCCCATGAAACTGTCTGGTTCAGGACTTAATTTTTATGTTGGGCAGTATTTTATGACCTGTTCAATTTTGTTATGTGCTTGTTTAAATAACAGAGGCCATTTGGTAATGACATATCAGATAAGGGACTTATATCTAGAATTTATAAAGTTCTTGAGCACCACAACAAGATAAAGGTAAATAATCCAATTGAAAAATGGTCACAGGATATGAACAGACACTTCACCATAGAAAGCATTCAGATGGCTAACAAGCACATGAAGAAATGTTCAAAATCCCTAGCTCTAAGAGAGATGCAAATTAAAACAACTATGAGATACCATCTCACCCCAGTCAGAATAGCAACCAATGCTGGTGAGGTTGTGGAGAATCTGGAACCCTTATTCACTGTTGGTGGAAGTGTAAAATGGTGCAAGCACTGTGGAAAGCGGTATGGCACTTTCTCAAAAAGTTGCAAATAGAGATACCATTTGACCCAGCAATTCCACTACTGGGACTATACCCCAAAGAGACCATAAATGCCACCCAAGCAGATATATGCACACCCATGTTTATCGTGGCTTTGTTCACAATAGCAAGGAGTTGGAAACAACCTAAGTGCCCATCAACAAATGAATGGATAGAGATACTCTGGTATATTCATACAATGGAATACTATGCTGCATTGAAAAACAAGGAACTCATGCAATATTATTCAAAATGGTTGACTCTGGAGAACATTATGCTGAGTGAAATATCTCAGTCACAAAACAACAAATACTGCATGGTGCCACTGTTGTAAAACAGGACTGACCTCGGGGTGGGGGAGAGACTGAGAAAGATGCGTTCAATAATGTATACTGCATTGAAACAGATGAGGGAGAAAACTGTTTAAAAGGGATATGTGATTAGGTATTTTTGTCATGACAGGAGTCCAGAGAGAAGGCTGCATAGTGGAGTGGACCTGCGGGGAGGGATTGTAAAACAATGAAAGAATTTTGCTTTTACTTTTCCAAAACGGTAGTGTACTGGGGTGGGGGGGAGCGTTGGGAGCAGAGAAAAGTGCAACAATGAATGAATGGAAATCCAAAGTCTATAAATTTTCATTGAAATTAATAAATTAAAAAAAATAAAATTCCAACATGTTGGGGGGGAAAAGTGACTAGAAGTAACTGTTCACAATAGCTGTTCAAAACAGCTGTTCCCAACAGCTGTGTGATTCCGGCTAGTTTGTTTTCCCTGCCGGTAGACATGTCCTCCTCCCTTCCTCTGGCAGAGACTGCCCCCTGCTGCAGGTGCTGGCTGGTGAAGCTCTCGGTGAGAAGGAAGAGGGCTCCCTGCCCTGGATTGTCTCAAGACTCCTGGGAGGAAACAACTATACTGGCCTACTACTTCGCCTGGACCCCCAAGGTACCCCGGGAGAGAGTGTGGAGTTCCGCAGAAGCTTTGGGATCTGACCTTGAACCTCACTTGTGCCACTATGCAGTCTGATCTCCTGGGAGAGTTGGGATCCAAGAAGGCAGATCTAATTTACAGATAAGGAAAAAGAGAGGAACCTATTTTATAGGTAAAGAAAGAAAGGATGACTCAGAGGTGGGAAGGGACTTACCTAAAACCACTCTGCCACTAAAAATTAAGCCTCTGTGAGACATTATGATGTCAAGGATTTTTTTCAAAAGAATATGGAAAGATCAAGTTGGGGGCATACGCCACATAAGAATGGCCAGGAGTAGAGGACTGCTGAAGCTAGGTGATAGGTGGGTGGATACAGATTACATTTTTTTAACAGAACTGTAAATGTTGTTGTTATGTACCATCAAGTCAAAACTGACTGATAGTGACCCTCTAGCAGGTTTTCAGAGGCTTTACACTGTTCAGGAGGGGACTGCCCACCTTTCTCCCAAGGAGCATCTGATGGATTGGAGCCACATGCCTTTGGTTCGGCAGTGCAACTCCTTATCACTAAGCCAATAGAGCTCCCTAAAAAAGAAAACAGAAGAAAAAAAAGTCAGGCCTTTCCACTCCCCCCTTAAGTCAACAAAGACCATTTATGAAGACTTTCCCAGAACTCTCCTTATGTTAGGCCCTGTGGAATGAGGAAAATAAGTTGGACTGGTCTGCACTTTCAGGGATAAATCTGTGGAGGACAGTCAAGAAAGCACTCCCTGGAAGTCAGTTTGATATTACAACCAAAGGTACAAGCTTTAGTATCAGAACTGGGTTTGAGGTTCAGGTCAGCCACTCACCAGAGAGGAAATTACTTGACCTCTCTGAGCTTCAGTTGTCTCCTCTAGAAAATGGAGGAGCAGGCAGGGTAGAGTTCAGCTTGCCTGACTGGAGTCCTGAAGAGATAAAAAGAGGCAAACCATGAAAAACCCTTAGATCAAGATATTCCAAAAAGGGCTGGAGGTGTATATCAACAGTGAACTGCCAGAAATTAAAATTGGATTCAGCAGAGTACATGGAATAAGGGACATCACTGCTTATATCTGATGGATCTTGGCTAAAAGCAGAGAATACCAGAAAGATACCCATGTGGATCATAATAAATTATGAATGACATGGAGAAGAATGGGAATTATAGAAACATAGTTGTGCTCATGTAGAACTTATACAGAAACAAAGTATGCGTTGAAAACAGAATAAGTGGATACTGCACAATTTAAAAAAAGAAAAAGTGCTCATCAGGTTGTATTCTTTTGCCATACCATTTGGTCTGTATGCTGAGGCAATAATTCTACAAGTTAAACTACAAGAACACCACACCAGGGCTGGAGGAAGATTCACTACAGGCCTGTGGTATGGAGAAGACAACTTTGTTTGCAGAAAATGAAAATGTGGTGTGTTTACTGATGAAACTTTAAGACTGTAGTGTTCAGTATGGATTACTCCTCAGTGTAAAGTAAGAAGAACTCCTTAATAAGCAACATCATATTAAATGGTGTTGTTGTTATGTGCCTAGAGTCACCTGCGACTTACAAGAGACCCTATGTACAATAGCTCCAACTGAACCTTGTCCTATTCTGCTCCAGTCTCACTGACTCCGACCCCACTGCCCCAGTTACCATGTCAATCCAGATGGGGTCTTCCTCTTCTGTGCTGTCCTTCCACCTTTCCAAGCATGATGTCTTTTCTCCAAAGACTGGTCACTCCTTGCCATGTGCCAACAGTGTAAGAAGATTTAAAATCCTTGCCTTCAAGGAGAAACTTAATTTCACCCTCTCTAAGACATACCTATTTGTTTTCTTAGTGGTCCATAGCATGTTCAATACTCTTCCCAGCACTACAGTTCAAAGGCATCAATTATTTTGGTGTCTTCATTAGTCATTGTCCAGCTCTCTGATGTATAGCAAGTAATTGAGAAGACATGGCCTGGGATCAGGTGCACCTTCATTGCCAGACTGACAGTGTTAATCTTTATTACTTTAGAGACGTTCCTGATAGCAGACTTTCCTAGTGCAATTCGTCTTTCCTTTCCTGACTTTTGGTGGCAAGGGTGTTGACTGTGGAGTCAAGCAAGCTGAAATTATTAACAAACTCAATCTCTTGTCTATCATGGTGCTGCCAGTTGGTCCAGTGGTGAGAATCTTTGTCTTCTTGATGTTAAGCTTTAATCCATATTGAAGACTACAATCCTTGACCTTCTGCAGCAAGAAAAGTTTTAAATTGTTTAGGATTTAATTTTATTTGGACCCACAATCAATTCGCATGGAAGGCACAATCATGAAATCAAAAGACAAACTACATTGGAAAACCTGTTGCCAAGGGTCTGTGGAGAAGCAGAGGGTCAGCAAGGAAGGAGAAGACCCTCAATGAGATGGACTGAAGACACAATGGCTGCAACAGTAGGTGCAAACACTGAGCAGAGATTGTGAGGATGGCAAGGCAGGACTGGGTAGTATTGTACTGTTACACATATAGTTACTCTGAGTGAGGGTTTTCTCCACAGCATCTAACAATTTATGCCACCAAGAACACATAAGAGTCTGAGAGGCACCTACGTTCATTGCAGCATTCTTTACAATATCAAGAAGATGGAATCAAGTCAAATGCCTATCAGCAAACGAATGGACAAGGAAATTGTGTTACATTCACACAATGGACCACTATGTGGCAGTAAAGAACAATAAATTCATAAAACAGCACACAACATAGGCAAATCTAGAGGTTATTATGCTAAGTCAAATAGCTCAGTCATAAAAGGTCAAATACTGCATAAGACCATTTGTGAAACTGAGGATAACTGGGGTATGTAGGGGATGAAGAGAGCAGAAATAGAAGCAATGTGAAGGACCAGGATAAGACAGGATCAACAAAAGGACAACACAGCTACAGCAATTAGTGAAAAGCAACAGCATATGTGTAACTGTTCAAAAGGGGTGGGGGAAGGGAAGAAGGAGGTAGAATGTTATTAGTAACAAAAATGAAAAGTATTACCTCAGGAGAAAGATGGGCTGTCTTCCCATTACAATTCACAGCCTTGGGAACCATAGAGAAGGGTGCTATGAATTGGAATTGACTTGATGGCAATGAGTTAAAAAGTATTACAGGAAGTGGGTTTTAGATTCCACAGGAAAGGAATTATTCATTCTGAGTGTTTCTTCACTAGGAAATTCCTCGAGCTTGCTCCAGGCTGCTTTGTTGGGGGCCTCGAGGAGGAAGATGGAGGTCAAACAGGTGAGACCAATCCTGTGGGATGCAGTGGAGGATGCCAGGGCCCGCAGGGCTGGCCTAAAGACCCTGCGTTCAGGCCTCCTTGGGGGCCCCCTGACAGATGGTGGGCTCAGCCAGCTAAATCAGGCACTGAGGGAGCTGCAGGTAAGAAAGGTATGGTCTTGAGGCCCCTGGACCTCCAATGGCCAGAGGCTGCCCAGAGTCCTTTTTCTGTAGGTGGTAAAAGCCTTGTGTCAGCACCCAAGAAGTCAGATATCCAGAGAATCTCAAGTTGAGGCAGTGGGACCTTTAGAATCACAGGTTTGTCACCTCCTCTGACCACACAGGAACATGATAGATGCCTGCTTTATCTTCCATTCACAGAACACTTTTAGTAAGCTATCAAGAGCCTTGATGGCACAGTAGTTGAGCATTTTGGTGCTAAGCAGTTTGGTGGTTTGAATCCACCAGGCACTCAGGAGACAGAGGAGGGTGTCCGCTTCTGTAAAGATTTACATCCTGGACTACTCTGCTCTGTTCTGTAGGTTAGCTATGGGAACAAATAACCTCAGTGGACAATGAATGGATTTATGAAGGACCCTTCATTGACATACTACACTTGGCACTAATTTGTTAATTCTCCATTAATTATCGAGGTTTTGTATGCTGTCAACTCTAGTCAACTGACTCATAGTGACTCTATTTACAACACATTGAAGTCTTGGTCTACCTTGTGTCATCTTCACAAAGTCCACTGTGGTTAAGCCCTTTGTTGCAGCCATGGTGCCAACTCATCTGAGTCTTCCTCACCTTTTCTGACCACTTACCCTTCCAACCATGACATTATCTTCCTAGGAATGCCCTTTCTAGTTACATGTCCAAAGTATATGAAGTCTCACCATCCTTGCCTCCAACAAGCACTCTGACTGCACGTGTCATTGTTGTTAGTTGCCACTGACTTTACTCATAGTGATCCTGAGTACAACAGAAAATTTGCCTGATCCTTCGCTGCTCTCACAAGCTTCACTGTGCTTTTATGTCCATTTTGCAGTCACTTTGTCAATATATCTCATTGAAGGGCTTCCTTTATTTTGCTGACCTCCCACTTTTACAAGTCTTATAAGTTCTTTTCGGAGGACTTGTCTCTCTTTCATGCTCCAAGAATGTGAGTATTTTACCATTCTTTTCTCTAAGTAACATCTTGGTTGTACTTCCTTCAAGACAGATTTGTTTGTTCCTTTGTCAGTCCATGGTATATTCAATTGTCCTCTAAACACCACACATCAAAGGCATTGATTCTCCAGGTTTCCTTATTTATTGTTTAAATTTAACATTCATGTGAAACAACTGAAAATGCCATGGCTTCATGGCTTCAGTCATGTGCATCTTAGTTTTTGAACTGATATTCTTTCCTTTAGCACTTTCAAGAGATCCTTGTCAGCATGAACTCCATGCAATACAGCATTTTTTTTAAATCTTTATTTGATTGTGGCTACCATGGGTGTTGACTATGAAACAAAGTAAAAGGAAATCCTTTACCATGATGTTGCCCATTGGTCCAGTTGTGAATATTTCTTTGCTTGCTTTATTTTGAAGCATAAGCAATACTATAGGTTGTAGTCTTTGATCTTCTTCAGTAAGTGCTTCAAGTCCTCTTCCTTTTCAGCAAGCATGGTTTTGTTATCTGCATAACACTGATTATTGATGAATCTTCCTTCAAGCCTCATGCGACATCATCTTCATATAGTCCAGTTTCGTGGTTTATTTGCTCAGCGTAACTATTGATTCATATTTGTGCCCATTCCAAAGTAAGGTGATTCAACAAAATGTGTATATTATTGAACAATATCATTATCACAAGCAAAATCTTGCTGAAGAATATTCAAAAGGTTGGAGTAATACATTAATAGGATTGCCATAAGCTCAAGGTTAATTCAGAAGAGACAATGGATCCATCATCGGATTACGGCTTAATGCACAGAATATTAGAAAGATGTTTACTTGCATTTTGTTATGTAAAGGCATTTGGCTGTATTGTTCATAATTATGGATAACACTAAGAATGGGAATTCTAGAACACTTTATATTGTGCATGTGTGGAGCCTCTATGTGAACCAAGAAGCTGTCATTTAGAAGAATGAGGAGAAAATGCATGGTTTAAAATCAGGAAAAGCATGCATCAGGATTATATCCTTTTACCATATAATGATATATGTCATTGTTAGGTGCTGTTGAGTTGACTACAACTCATTAATAACCCTACGAACAACAGATCATAACAGATCTTGAACCCTGCCCTATTCTGTGCCATTCTCATTATCTCTGGCATACTCAAGCCCATTGTTAAAATCACAGTGTCAAAAAAAAAAAAATCACAGTGTCACTTTAAGCCTGCAGCATGCTCAGGTCTGGTGTGGCCCTATGCATTCCTACACTGCTTGCAAGAACAGTGTTGAACCAAGCAAGGTTTCAGAAATTTCAGACAAAAAATACATGGAGATGTTTTTCTTTATATATATAAAAAAGTCACTGTGTCAATCTGTCTTGTTGAGAATCTTCTTCTCTTTTGCCGACCAACCATCCACCTTTCTAATCATGTCTTCTTCCAAGGACTGGCCTCTCTTAACAACCCAAAGCATGTGGGATGAAGTGTTATCATCTTTGCATGTAAGGAGCACCCTAATTGCACTTTCTCCAAGATTTATTTGTTCTTTTAGAAGTTCATGGGCTAGTCAATTTTCTTCAACACCATAACTCAGTATGTCATGTCTAGAACCTTCAAGTCAGAACTCACAGCTGATCTTCTAGCAGGTTTTCAAAGCTAGTGAATGACACAGGAGAAGAATAATTCTCTCTCTTTTGCAGAGCACCTGGTGGATTCATTAGGGTTCACATGCAACTCCTTACCACTGAGTCACCAGAGCTCCCTGAAAATGCACTATGTTGTTGTATACAGTCGAGTTGGAATGACTCATAGCTGCCACTCCAGTGGGTTTTAAAATGTTTTATTTTTTTATTTTGTGTGTGTGTACTGTCAAATTGGATCTGACTCGTACAAGAACCAGCAGGTTTTGAGAGGTAGTTGATTGAATAGGAGGAGACTGCCTATCTTTCTCCTGCAGAGCAGCCCAGTGAAATTCTTTTCCTAGCGTTAACAATCAGCTGTACAAATGCAATTACAACAGAGTAATCTGGGCTTGGAAGCTCTTATAAATGCAAGGTTCAGTGGGCATTCTAAATAAGCCTTGGCAAGAAAGAGAAGACTTCATGATGGAAGCGATTCCAGAAGGTCAGCAAGTCCATGAGAAAATGGTAGTCAGATTTAGAGGAAGCTGAGTGCTTGATACCTTGAGGAACTGCAATCAGCTCAATTTGTGGACAACAGTTGGATGAAGAAAGTCAGGACAGGACTAGCGAGATTAGGTCCTATAGGGCTTTGCATATCTACTGTTGTGATATTTGGGCTTTGTCACAGGATCCACATGTATTTGTTGTTGTTGTTAGGTGCCGTCAAGTCGTAGATGACTCATAGCGACCCTATGAACGAATGGCCTGAGCACTGTTCGTACATAGAGTTTCTGGAGACAAGCCATTTTGGAAATGGATGCCACTCCTGCTTCCAGGCTTGTTTCAGTGAGGAAGCTCCAGCCAACACTCCACCATGGGTACCCATGACCACGTTTGGCTCATCACTGTCACAGTGTTCAGCATCACAGCAACCACGAGTTACCTCTGTACAGCAACACACACACCAGTGCTATACCACCTAGAAGAGTGTTTGACAGGAAAACAATTTGAACCCACCTTCGGCTTGGTAGCAGATACCTGAATAGGGAAAAAACACCACCAACAAAAACATTGCTTCTAATTTGGATGAGCAAACTGAGACTCAGACGAAATGTTACAGGGCCAGCATCACACGGACAACCATAGGAAAGGTGCAATCACATTCAGCCCCACATTTTGTCCCCAGTGACTGGAAATCTGCCTTGTCTTAGTCTCTCTTGCATCTTCTCTTCTTTCATGTTATTCACAAGTTTCTGCAACTGGAGCTATTATCAGATGTAGTTTATAGACAAGGGTCCTGGTGCCACAGTCCAAAGGGAGTTGCACTGCTAACCAAAGGTCAGTATCTGTCTGGTGGTTAAAACCTACCAGTGCCTCATTCCGATACAGGCCATGGTCTTTGCTATCACTTGTTATGCATCAGAGAGTTGGACAATGACTAAGGAGGATAGAAGGAGAATTGATGTCTTTGAGCTGTGGTGCTGGAGAAGAGTATTGAGGGTACCATGGACTGCTAGGAAAACAAACAGATTCATCCTGGAAAGGGTCAAACCGGGCTGCTCTTTGGAAGCAAGGATTCTAAGGCGCTGTCTAACATACTTTGGACATATTGCAAGGAGGGACAGGTCCTTGGAGAGGGACATCATGCTTGGTAGGGTGGAGGGACAGCGCAGATGGGGAAGGTCCCCTATGAGGTGGAATGATTCAGTGACTGGGGTAATCGGGATGGGTGTGTCAGAGACGGTGCGATTGGCACAGGACAGAGCAGAGTTTAGGGCTGTTGTACAAAGGGTCGCTCTGAGTCGCAAGCGACTCGATAGCACATAACAACAACACCAAGTGCCTCTTTGGGAGAAAGATGGGCAATCTCTAGTGTGATTTACAGTCTCAGAACAATAGAGGGTTAACTCTGAGTTGGTTCCAACTGGACGATGAGAGACAGACAGGGCTGGGGGCCTACTGGATGGCAACCAACAACTCAGGTGGTGGAACACTTAAAGGGTTCAAGCTGCTAACCAAAGAAAGCTTGGTAGTTTGAACCTTCCTCACTGATTCCTCAGGAGAAAGATCTGGTGATTTGCTCCAGTAAAAAGTACAGCCAACAAAAGCCCGTGAGGTTTTCTACTCTGTCAACATGCAGTCATACATACTTTACGCCATATAAAAAAAGCAACAATCACCTGCCTGAAGTCCTACAGTTAAGCAGATGGGACCTTGATCTCATTTCAAAACCTAGTTACACACACACACACACACACACACACACACACACACGTTGCAAGAGGAAGTATGTGGAATTTGTATTCCCAATACCTTCTCAGCAGGTGATGGATTCAGAAGCAAGCCCAAGTCTAGGCATCTGGAAGGAGCCTCCAGGTGGGTCTGGAGTTTGAGGGGGACCTGGGGATCTTTTCCACACTTGTTTTGCTTATGGATGTTTTCCTCTAATGGCAGAAAGGATAGCATGTTTATATACTGGATGCCACGAAAATCACCCTTTCAAGAACTCTGAGGAACAGGTAACATGTCATCTCCAGAAACTGGCAGTCCTATGGGGAATAGTGTTGCATAGTCTAGCTTATCTGGCTTCAGCTTACCCTCTTGACATCAGGGAGAAATAAAGACCTTGCAGTAAATGAAGGGCCCGAACAGCTTTGGGATCCCTAAGGGAGGGGTGTGGGAAAGAGCTGCTTTTCACTGGATTGGATTTAGGGGTATGGGATCCTCAAAGCTTCTTTCTAGAGCACCTACTGGCAGAGCCAATCTCTGTCCCTCTCCCCACTGCCTTCTGAGTCTCTGCCCAGACTAGGTCATGGTCACAGTTCTGGTCATGAAGATGTGTTGGAATGTGTGTCCAATGTTGTGTGTGCATGCCTGAGATTCTGGCTGACCCTAAATTGACCCCACCAAGGCCCAGCAGGCCCCAGATTTGGCCCTCCAGTTCTTCTTGGCTCAGGCCCGGAGGCAGAGATTGCGAGAACAGCACCAAACTTGGTTCAAAGAAGAGCTGAAGCATTTCAAGCAGACGGAAGAGGTGGCAGGTGACCAAGTGAAAGGCCTGGTGGCTGGAAAGGTGAGGAGGGGTCAAGTAGGGAGGATCCAGTGTGAGTTACAACAGACAAGTCCATACCTCTTTCATAGTCCTCATGGGATTCAGACAGATGAAGCAATTCTTAGTACTCAGTGCTGTGGTGGGGGAGTAAGGGGCTTGTGGGAATATGAGGTACCTGAACAGGCTGGGGTTGGTCACAGATGGCATGTGAATGGAGATTCAAAGGGCAGAACTTCACAATGATAGTTTTTGTTCATTACATATAGGGAATAAGTGAACAATATAAAACCAATACAACAGGGTTGGGTGTGTGAGCATGCTCTGGAAGGGGACAACACAGCATGTGCAAGAGTCCAGTGGGAATGAATGCCAGGACTGGTTCTGGGACCAACACAAGGCCAGTCTGGCTGGAACCTAGCACGTGAACGGTCAGAGATAAGGCTGGGAGAAGCTTCTGTACCATGTCTTGGAATCTGGACTTTACCCCAAGGAGAGTTAGCCCCTGAATGGCGTCATCTGAACTCTGTCCCTCACAAGTGATTTTGTTAAGTCACTTCTGAGTTACTGTTTCCAAAGCTGTAAAAGGCAATTACCCATATGGCTGTTACTAAATATTCCTGAAATATTTAGCACCATGCACAGCTACTTAGATAAGAATATCATTATTGAAGGTCCCTGAGGAGAGTCAGAGAAGGCAAAGGGAGGAGACAGTATTGAGACTCCAACTGGAAGGCCTTCAGGCAGAGCGAGATGCTGCAGAACAAGACCTGGTAACCCTCTATGACCTGCATGTACAGGCTACTCGAGCTAGGACGTGCCATGTGCTGCAGGTCAGTGGGAGCCTCTGGGCAGGCCGAGCAGGCTCCAAGGCTGGCTTACTAACAGGCATCTTGTGAACCTGGAAACAGGTGTTCCGGGACTGGCAGAGGCTGTGGGAAGAGCAGGCCCTGGCTGCAGAGCATCACCACCGCAACCTTCTGGCTAGCATTCTACAAGACAACATCAGCCTGGCCACCCAGAACCAGCAGCTCCAAATCGAGAACCAGCAGCTTCAAGATGCAGACTAGGTGGGGACTGTTATTCTAATCTCTGCCCTGGAAGAAACCTGGTGAACAAGAATCCTTCATAGATAATTTCCTCTCCTCATTCTTGAAAATGCGAAGAGGAAGATGGGGCACAGCTAACAAGCTAATTCTCACTAAAGAAAAAAACGACACTAAACTTTTTCTCAATATGAATAACACCATCACTTTCTGATTTCAGTGTGAGCCCCAACAGTCATTTAACCTTTTCAACTACTCATAGTAGGTTAAAAAAATCCCCACTGCCATTAAATCATACTCATTGTGATCTCCCATAAATTCTCTGCCCTTGTTGATATTAAAGGGAGGAGACTGTCCATCTATTCCCCTCAGAGCTGCTGGTGGATTTGAAGTACTAACCTTTTGGTTGGCAGCACAACACTATCCACCAGTGCTCAGATCAGAGATCATGGTTAAAAGAGAGGCACATTCCCATGCAAGCATGCCTGGTTGTACATAGTTCACAAGCTTGCATTACAATTGCCTGCACCAACCCAACACTCAACAAAACCATAACTGCTATCAAGTTTATTCCCATTCATTGTGGCCCCATGTACTTCAGATCAGAACTGCATTCCATTAGGGAGCTTGTTAAGTAATAATAATAATTTCCAGACCACATTCCCTAAGACTGCTTTAGGGGGCAGGTCTGGTGTAGACTCTAAAGGATGTTTCTACAAGTTCACTAGGTATCCTCACAGAGAAGCAGGCCTGACATTCCTCTCACCATGAAAGCAGGTAATAGGCAGGAACACCAACAAGATGACACTAGATTCTTAAGTTTTCCAGGGGAGTAAAAACATGTTTGAGATTTTTACAATACAGAAGACACATGACAAAGTTGACTGATTTAGGAACCACCATATACCCCAAAATACTTTATTAAGACCTTATTGCTTATGCAGTTAAAGAGACACTGATTGAGCTACTGGAGTTTCCCTGTGCTTGAACCCACATTAA